TTATTTTGAGTTGGAGTGTCATTCCATCACCCAGGCTGGAGTGCAGTGGCACACACGCTCACGGCCACCGCAGTGTTGACCTTCTCAGTAGCTGGAACTACAGGTGTGTGCTACCACACCCCGCTAATTTTTGATTTATTGTAGAGACAAGGGCTCACCAAGTTGCCCGGGCTGGCCTTGAACCTAGGGCTCTGAAAGTGCTGGGATGATAGGCTGAACCACTGAGCTGGGCCACTCCTATCAAATTTTGATATACATACTTATCACCTGGAAAGCTTGTTTAAACGCAGTTTCTGATGAGTAGGTCTGGTTGAGGCTCAAAGTTTGCATTTTAAATAAGCTCCTGGGCAATGCCAATACTGATGGTCTGCAGACCACAGTTTAGTAGCAAGGGAGTCAGTCACATTTATTGCTTATTATATACCAGTTGCTCTTAACCACATAACTACATTATAAGGAAGAACAAGTCATGACACATGTTTCAGAGTTGAGGCAATTAGGCAGCCTTGAACACAACCAGCTCTTCTGACTTCTAGTTTATTTTATCTTCTACCAAACCATGCTCCTTGATTTATTAGAATTCATTCTCTACACTGAGAAAATAGGCAAACATTCGTGATATTTTTACAACCATTCAGCCAAAAATATAATTTTTTCAAATTTTCTTCCTAACTGAAAATCTGGAAAAAAAAAAAATTTCTTCACAATTACCACAAGTATTGTAGTCTCCCATTGTATAGAAACCAAATGAACAACACAATTTTTTAGGCTTTCATTTCTTTACCCATCTGTTAAAACTTAATATATTTAGTGATAGTATGCATTCATGGTTGAATGCACTTTATCCGTGCAGATTCTGTGACATTGAAATTCAACCCTCTTGCTGTAGCGGAAGGCCTCATTTTCTATTCCTGGAGCTAACAGAGTTCCATTTGACATTTGATGCCCATGAGATTTTTATAGAATCTAGGTTATGAGATGGAGTCTCTTGCCACACATTTTTGAATGGAAGTCTGCATTACTTTTCCCAGAGGTGTTCTGCATTATGCTTCTCTTTGAAATCATTTTGATTATTTAAAAAGAAATCTCCAATGATAAAAAAAATATTTTATAGAATAATCACTGACTAGAGAGCTTTTTAATTTGTTTCAGAGACAATTTGTTTTAAGGAAAGAAAGCAATAGAAATCCTCTCTTCTACCCCAACTCAAAGCAAAAGGCTATATTAATGTTACAGTGATAAAGTGGGAAAAATGTCTTCTATGATAAGTTTTAGTGTGTGTGGAAGTTCTTTTGGAAAAGACAAATGAGTAACTGGGTTTAAAATGAGCACATATGACAATGTAAGGGCTTTAGTTCAAACACTATATAATAAAAGTTGTCTTTATAATCTTCTTGAAAAAATATGCATTTGGTTATTTGATCTTCTAAAATATACAATCCATAAGCAACTTAATTACTAAAAATTAACTCCACTAAATTAACTTATTCTTAGTGACAGAGAAAAATTAATGACAAGATGTTTGGTGTTTGACAAATGACATAGTTCCTAATGTAATTGTACCTTAAACTTTATACTTAGCACAAACTCATAGTAGCTGAAAGATACCTGCTTTATATCTGTCTACATATGCTGGCAAAATTTACTTATTTAACCTAAAATTTGATTAAAGTTAGACTTAACTATCTCTGATATAAATGGTAAAATATTCAAATACACTCAGTATAATAGAACTACTCTAAATCTTATCTCCCAATGGTAACGGTTTTTGCATTCCAGAGTTTTTTCACCCTTTAGTAAAGTAGCTGACACATTATAGATGCACAAGAAATGCTTATAGGAGAAAAAAAGATGAGTTAATGTTAATTGACTAAACCAAATAAAGAGCATCTTTAAGGAAATAATAACAAAAATAAAAATTATAAAACCAGCACTGGGCAAGTGTATCATGTAAGCCAAGTACTGTGTTAAGCATAACAATAAATATTATTTTGTTAATCATCACAAATGTATTCTGTGGTTGTCACCACTGTTTTCCCTCTGAAAATAAGGTTTTATAGAATACTCTCCTAAATCAACACAAGTAGTACTCACACTCACACCTAAATCTGTGTAACTTGAATAACATAACCACTATACTTTTTCCTACTTGCTTTAGTTTAGAACTTGCTTTGATGCAAAAATCAAACTCACCTCTTTGGTATACTGGAGATACTACTTGAAGACATTTCAATCTGATTTTACAGCAATAAGGCAAGAGTGCTTGTTTTTGCAATCAAATAAACATTTGCATAATTGAAAGTTTTGCCTTTTCTAAAGAGGCTAGGTGAAATTTTAGTCTTTTTTCAGTTTGCTCATCATGACAACCACTATCGCCATCACATAGTTGTCATCATCTTCTATATTACGAAGTATAGCAGTTACTAAGAAATTTTCCTGTCCTAAGTATTGTGCTAAGTTTTGCACCTCTACAAAGTTATTGTACTCATTGCTTATTGGTCATCAAACATTTAATTATTTTGGCCATTCAGGGCCAAGCCTGGTATGCTTAATATTGGAAAAGCTATTAACATGTTTTTAAAGCTATTAAGTGTTTTAAAGCAGTCGTATTGCTTAAATAAAAAGGCAATATTTTAAAGAAAACATAAAAGCAAAACACTATTTTTTCTTTTAACATTCTCCTAAGAAATGATGCTGGGAAAGAGCTTTATTTGTCTTAAATTTTATGAGCTGATTCTTTTAAAAAGATGAAATGGAGAATCATCCAGTTACTTTTTGGTTTGTCTTTCAGATTTTCTAATGAGTCCATGGTCAATTCAACATTGAGTTTTGCCATGCAAAAGCTGCTTCATGTTGACAAAGAAGAAAGAAAAATGCACAATAGTGATGCATCCTACATATTGAGTTATCTTCTTTTACATTACCCACATTATTGATTTTCAGAAAATTTGACTTTGCTTGAATATACCTATTTACATACAGATGCTTATATAGTCCTCAGAATATGTACAATAAGTTGATTTAAGAACGATTACAATTGTCATGTATTTTTATAGTGAGTTAACTGCCCATGGACGCAGTTTGGTCAGTTCACTGATAGTTTTCATACATTTATACTGGTTTCTATAATAAGACACATGACAATGTATCCAAAGCCCTCAGGACTTTAGCACTGACTTCAGACAGCATTTTCTTAAGATGCGGGTATTAGCATGGCCTTAAAAGTCTTCACTTCCTCAGTTTTTATGTTGTTCTTTCTCCTACTAAAAACTCCTTAGTAATTTTGTACTATGGACATAGTTAAAAAAAAAAGTTTGAATCAGAAGAAATTGATGATCTAGATAAGAACATTGTTTTTTTCATTTTTTACTTCTGTTTTGTGATATTTGTTATTTGTTTTTGTTTAAAATTGATGGCTATATGATGTTACAGTCCCTATGTTACGTTGCACTAAAATTGATTTAATGCATCAAACCTTGTGTAGTTGATATTCTAGCCACAGTCAACTAGAGGTACATTTGAAGCTAGAGGTAGTAAATGTCTTTATTTTAAGCCCCTTTAACTAGAAGTAATTCAGGGCTTTCCTAACCAGGGCTTTGTGACAATTCGCTAGTGGTCAGTTGGATCTAAAATTTATATTATAAAGAATAGAATATTCTATAATTCAGATTTTCAATAGTCTATTATGGAAATTAGAATTTACTAATAGAATTTGAACTCTGGTGTGATTAGAATTTATTTCAAAAACTTTAAAAGTGATGTTTTTGTAACCAAAAAATGATAAATTTGTATGTATGCTTAAAGCCAAATGAAATAATATACTTTTACATCCATGTAAAAGCTTTTTTTTTTTCTATTTATCACACACTCTCAACAAATTCCATTATGGTGTTAGTAGATCAATTACTGTCACTACCATAATCTGTGGGGAAAAGGAGGTAAAATAATTAAGCTAGTATAATAATAGCGGAAAAGTGAATATTTAGAGAATTTTATGTTTAAGAATTAAAGCAATATTGCTATTTTCCTTAAAGCTTATCCATACATAGTCATTAAGTGAACATTATCTTTTATTAAAATATTAATTGTGTCTGTGTAAAAACACAATGCAAATTTCTTCCGATATCTCTTATCTTTATTCCATACTGAATATAAGAACATTTAAAGAATCCCTAATCTTGGTTACAGAAGAGAGCCATCTGCTCTTCTGCATGCTCTTCTTATAGGCAAGTATAATACTTCTTAAAAGCAAGTATTATTTGTCAACATTACTGAATGTGTCCAAGGCTATCAGTAAAGCTGGTGCATTAGAGTAATCAGATTATATGAGAATAGAAATATCAGTTCAGAGAATCGGTTTCTAATTCGTTTGTTTCACAGGCAAAGCTGGCTAATGATACATTGGTACACATTTACAAAATCTAGTCAGTTGAATGTGTTTCTTATAAAGTATTATTTACTCAGATTTAATTAGGAAGGCACATTAGTTTCAGGGACTCACCTGATACTCACCTTTGTTTGGAGGGCAACAGAGGACATAATGTTTAATTTTTATCTTTATCATTGCATTATTTCTGGTAAAATCTATTGGTAAAGGTAGACTCAGGATACGAAAAAGACCAGTCCTTGCTCCATGGTCTTGGGTGTGCTATTTCTAAATATAAATTATTTATGCATCTCATAATTTCAGCTACATTTTTATTCAGTATTAACTAATATTAACTAATTGAAGAAAATATTTTCAGGGTGATGTTTACTCAGGGTGAGAGTAACTGAGACTAACAGTTTTTGGGAGGGAGGTTGGGCAGTTTTTGAGAACCACTTTAAGGCTTTAGTAGAGCTAGTTGTCTGGTGGAATAGAATGGGTTCTGTGACTTTGTGAAGACCAGCTCACCTCCTGGGAGCATGAGGGATGGGGGTCATCAGCAAACCTGTGCACAGTTGGGCTGCTCTACAATCCCTTCTGCTGTAAAGGTGTTCACATCTGTCTTGTCTTTCAGTCCTCCACAAACAACCCAGAGAAGTGTGTCTCTGTTTGCTAGAGCTTGGCCGAATTGCAGCCAGGTAGGTCAAACTACTGCTACTATGTGAAGACATAGAGCATCTCAGCATTCAGGCAATGGAGAAGCTGGCTTGCCTTTCATTATTGATGTTTAACCCGGATGTTGAGAAGCTATTCATGTATATGTGATTATCTGAACATCTTGAGAACGGTTGTTCAAACTGAAAGCATGTCACCAACGCTCTTTACATTTGGCACTTGTTGTCAAGGCCACTATGTCTAAGCATTTGCTAATATCCTTTAATCAAATACATCTCCTCTCCAAACCTTTCTTGGTGGTGGAAGAGGATCTTGCTCATGAAGTTTTCTGTGACAGTTAACTCTTTCCTTAGTGGACATTCTAGTCCCATTTGTTCTCTCTTTTCCTCCTCCTTCACCTTCTCGCTTCCTGTTTACTGTTTAATCATTTTCAGCCTCCCTCTCTAATCATTTTTCTCATTTCTCCCAGTTAATACCTCATCCCTCAGCTCTTTTAGTTTTCACTTCTGAGTAGGAAGATTGTTTTATTTTTTTCAATTATTCTCTGTTTTTATTAGAGAAAAGCAGAATATTATTCTTATGTAGAGATACCCTTGGAGCCTTTTTTCCCCCGTAGGGAAAGGAAAAACAAGAAATTATTGCAGAAATTATAGCTAGATAAGTACAGGAAGAAACTTTATGACTAAGCTAACTTGCTTTGGATTCATGTTTTTACGTTTATTATGTTGTAAACCATCAGGCAGGGGTTCTGATAGTTTTATGAAGTCCCCCTAATGAAAAATTAACATATAAAGGCTTGAAGAGGTCTTGATGCAAATTAAAAATTCAGCATTAATTAGGAGATGTTTTCCAATCCATATCTGGGTATATTTATAGGGTTGAGATCAGATGAACAAGGAAGATAAAGTGAGGGTTATCAGTAGATAATTTATTAACAGAATCAAGAAAAAGAAAATGCAAGATGAGCACATCAGCACATTTTGGCTAGAAATCTTGTTTCCAATGAACAGACCTTTTTTTTAATCCAGTAGAAAATTAACCTGTAATCAGAAGCTGTTACCTCAAGTTTTTAAAATCATCATAGTCAATATAATCTTAATGAATTATGTATCAGGCATGAATTTTATGTTACCATAGTGATTGGAATGAAGAAGATTGCTTTAATGTTTTTAAATTCAAACTAAATATCACTCGGTCTGACTCAACATGGAGTGAAAAAATCAAGTTGAGACATAGCATTCCTGAGGATTATGGAAAGGCTTCTGGGGGAACACCCTCTAGTCTTGGTCCTCTCCGGTGTCTGCCACTCAGTTCAAGCTTTTGGTACTTGCTTGTAGTGCCTGGCTCCTTATTTGGCCCCTTTCCTCTTTAGTGCTATCACATCCTTGAGTTTCAGTGAGGAAGCAAGACAAAGGTGTACCTGTTGCTTCTAGGACCTTGACATGTCCACGCCCCCACCAGTCTTGGGGCTTCTGACCTGTATTTGGCCCTGAGTCAAATGAATATCAAGGATTTAGCAGCTATCCCTTAAAAAATGGAAAGTTAAAAATACAGGAAGTAGGAAAACAGACCAAGTAAAATCTCGGTAACTAACCTGCTGCTTGGAAATGCTCAAGTAAATCTCGTTTTCTGGATTTTGTCCTATGTCTTGTAATTACACTTTTTTATTATATGAAACATGGAAAGTCTAACGTTCCTGCTTAATGATAAACTGTAGCTGTTTTGTTTAATTGTTTAATTATATCATTCAAATATGTTAAAATGCCAGATTTCATTTTGTGGCTTAATCAATATAAATATATGCATCAGATAAGCATCTTGCTTCAGAAAGTTTGATATTGAAGTAAACAGAGAGATTTGCACTTTCTCTAGAATTAGCTAGAGGAAAAAAAATAGCATTTGTTTCCCATTAAATTGATAGCACTTGCCTGTTTTCTGGATTTTGTTTTATGTTTTGTAATCATCTTTTTTATTACATGAACATTCTGATTAGGAATCCTGCTGAAATAAACACTTTACCTATGCCCAAGTCACCATATTTGACAATGACAAAATGCCTTTAAGAATCACTTTTCCTATAACTCTGAATCCAACATAAATTGTCTCTTGTCATAGGATACAAAGCAAATTAAAATATTGGTTAGTGAAAGGAAATCAAAATGGTCTTGTCATTTTCAAGGTGAGGCATCATATGAAGAGTTCCCCACTCACAATTTTTAAAATTTTGGGTTGCTGCGTTTCTGAACATGCTTTATGTCCATGCAGCCTGATAAAGGCAGCAATTATTCACACTGAAAAAGGCAAACTATTTATTTTATAGAAGTTACATAAGGATTAAGATAACCATTACAATACAATATTTAATTTGTAAATTTGTTTTTTTATCTCCTTCATCCACTTGGATATTATAAAGTATTACATACTTTGAACGAAATAAAAAAGTGCTAATAGATGGTCATGGTATTACTTTTATTGTTGGGTGCAGTGAGATATTAAACAGCTGAATACCAGTTAGATAGACTGAACATTTAAGTATGAATATCTGTTTCAGTGTCTTTCTGTATACATTTAAAGATTTTTTTACTTTGATGCAAGTTCAATTTGCTTTACAAATAGCAACTCAATAAAACCAGATCTTACTATATTACCCCTGTTTTGAAGCCAATTAGTTGAAACAAAAATGGAGAATTCATTTCCCCAGCCTAATTTTACTCCTACATTTTGCTTTAGCTACATTAAATCTATATCGAAATGGTTAAATTTGTGCATCCCCCCATTAAGAATTACAAATTAATGAGTTAAAACAGCTTTACCTAATACTAAAAGTGATTTTGGAAGCGTTCTTAATAACAACATTTACACATTTACAAAAATAAAACATAGCAGATGAGTTAACAAAGTCCTCAATGTAATCTTGTGAATCTTGTGTCTTTTTTTTTTTTCATGAGTTGGAGTCTCACTCTGTTGCCCAGGCTGGAGTGCAGTGGCATGCTCATAGCCACCATAGCCTCGACCTATTGGGCTCAGGTGATCCTCACGCTTCAACATTCCAAGTAGCTGGAACTACAGGCATGTGCTACCATGCCCAGCTAATTTTTTAAAATTATTATTTATTGTAGATATCAGGTATCACCATGTTGCCCAGGCTGGTTTCAAACCTGTGGGCTCAGGCAATCCTCTCGCCTCTACCTTGCAAAGTGCTGGGATTACAGGTGTGAGCCACTGTGCCTGGCCAATTTTGTGTTTTTCATCATTGATAGATAAATGATGCTTTCTTATATTTTATTCTAAACATTTACTTTTCCAAATTATGCAACTGCAATTTTAGAAGCATAAACATCACTTCAGAAATGATTCCCAGCAAGATTCTGATTCTCTTTCATGTTTTTCTCTCTGGGGACACTTAGTGAAACGCCTTCGAGTGCTGTGGGCTTCTCTGAGTTCTGGGATGGGAGAATGAGGCCACTTATTTCTCTTCTCATGGGTAAAGCTTCCTTTTATTTTCAACTAAATAGAGCTATCATCACTGGAGAGTGAAGTCCCTCTGCTAATATTTCAGAAGAATGCCAGTTTTTGAATGTAAAATATGTGTTTGTCTTGTGAAAGGTAAAACACAGAAAAAGCAAGTCAATAAAATCTCAATGATAGTTTTAATGACAGTGCTTTATATTCATTGCTGAAAACAAAGTTACTATGAATTTAAAATTTTTATACACTGTAGAATTAAGAATATTTTTATGATAAAAGTAAAAAACATCCTTTGATATTTTGGTTTGGGGCCATAATCCATAATCTATATCATAATGGAATTTTTTGTAATTTTTTTTTTCTGAGTACTTCCTTGATGTGGAAGAAAATTTATGATCATTCAAAAGAAATATACTTTCTGAACATTTCCTTTAATCTCTTATTTTATTTCATGGTCTTATAAAAGGAAATGTTAGTTAACAATTAAAAATCTTATATAAAGATTATTAATTAATCATTAATTAATTCTTATATAAAGATTATTAGTTATTGACTATACCTAACCCAGAATTGTACCCCACATCCATAAAAAAAGATTATTAATTGGCTCATTCTATTTATTTAAAGCACTTGAGATGACTGCTAAGGATATCATGTACTTTTACATGGCTGAAATTTATTTCCAAATCTTAATCTATCTTTAAAATTCTTTAAAACAGAAGACAAATGGGACAAAAATTATCTTACAAATATCTATAAGTTCCTATATGCTTTAAAAACAAAGAGTTTCTCTCATTTGGTTCAAAAATTTGCTTCTCTAAGCTTAGTAAAATAGGCTCCAGATGTCTTTTGTTTGACAACCATCATCTACTAAATAGTTTGAGAACATTTTCTAATTCAGGGCTTAGTTTAGGGACTCAGTTATTTCATCTAGATTAATCCCAAAAGTTGTATCAAAGTGCCAGAAAAATAAGAAATCCACTCCTACAATTTCATCATAAAGTCATTAACCATAAGACCTTTTCCCTAGCACTTTGCTTTCTTTGTTCAATGGGACAATAATAAATATATTTTCCTTTGAGTATTCAACCTACTTTTATATCACTGGGAAATGTCTGAGGATTTTATTTTAGTGGATCTGACCTTTTTGGCCTCTTTAGTTTGACCTTTAATCATTTTAAAACAACAGCTACTTCTAAAACTCTAAAATCTTGAAGTTGGAAAGGAGTATAAAACAGTATACATTTGTGAAAACCTTAGACAAAGCAGAAATGTGAAGTGGTATAGTGTTAATCATGGAAACCAGAATGAAGCAGCCTTGTGGAGAACAGAAAAAAGACCAAGTTGATGCCTGGTTGGCTTGCAGGTGCAGGCCCCCAGCCCACGGGGAATTCTATGATTTACAGTCTGTTGACATCTCCAGACAGACAGGAAGTCAATGAATTGTATTTAAGTGTGCATTGCAGGACTGGCGGACTGTGCTTTAGGCAGTTTGAAGTATTCAAAAGCCAATGTAAGCAGAGATTTGGGACTTAGCGTTGATTTTCTATGTTCAGTGGCATAGCTAATTTTTAACATTTCCAGATAAAGAAAAATCTCTGGAGCAAGGTTTTCTATGTGTGATTGTTAGCAATTTTATTCAAACCTAACCTGCTTTGTACTAGACATAGCATATTTATTATTATTTTATTTTGTAAAGCAAAATATGCAACTTGTTACTGAAACGTGGAATGACTCCACCTACACTTACAAATGAAATCATTTTTTCCAGTCACCTAATTTATACTGTCAAATATGATATTTTCACTTATGACTTACTTTTAATTGACTGTGACTTCTAGTCTTACTACTAAGTTTATTTTATTCTCTTAAGAACATTAAATATAACCAAATGTCATACCTTCATGGAACTAAGACTCCAAAGACGTCTAGAGAGATTAAAAAGAGTTGCTTGCCAAAGTTTACGTGGAGAGTTAGTAGCAAAGCTGAATTTGTAACTTGATGTGCTAGACTCCAGTACTGAGATATTTCTGATATTCCATAATTCTGGCCATGTTTTTAAAAAATGTTGAACTAGATGAGGAGGAACAACCCATCTACGCTATTTTTGTCAAAAAAATTTTTAAAAATTAAAAAATTAACAAAAAATAAAAGATTGTCGATAGCAAATTGTAAAGAATATTACGATAGTAGTAATACTACTTTGTATATTGATAATACCTTAATTTTGAGATTAACACGATCTCATTTGGTGGTATAACATATGAAAGAAACCAAAAATGTTGGCCACAGAAGCCCAGTTTCCTGATTGCACACACCAATTAATTTATCAATAGCAACCTCAGAGTTTGTGCCATGTGTCAGACACTGTACTGGGTATGTAAAGTATACTATTTTAATTCCCTCTAACAGTATTCAAACATAGAATTTCCATTTTACGTTGAAATAAGACTCAGAAAAAAAATGTATGTCAGGATATTCAGCGGGACTGGACACTGTGAGGACCCAGTACTTTAGTTTTAGTTTTAGATAGGGTTAATGTTTTCTAGAAGAGCATTTTTTTTGGTCAAGCATTTTTGTACATTTAATGTTGACATGTGTTATTAAAATGATATATGCATTTAGGGACCCAAAACCATGAAACTGAATTCATGTTTAGAAGCTGGTATTATTGTTATATGAGAATAACATGTTTTTTGACATTCATTTATATGGTAACTATTAGGTACCTATTGTGTGCCAAGATCTATGTGAGATATGTTGTAGATCAGACAGACAGTAGTCTCTAGCATTACAGAATTTACAGTCTAGCATATGTTCCCACCAGTGTCCCATTAACTGGTAAATATTATAAAAGTGTAGAAATATGTTAAGTGGTGCCTAAGCCTTTTAGCTAATTATTTCTATGTAACTGAAAATTACTCTGTAGACTAGAAGCTAGTATCAAAGTAGTAATTGTTTAGTTGAATTGTGCCCCACCTTAAACTCTTTTGTTTAATGTAAGTTTTCTAGCTCACAAAAGGTACCTGACACGTAGCACCCCTATTTACTACCTGAATTCTCAAAAAAAAAAAAAGAAAAGAAAAGAAAAGAAAAAGAAAAAGAAAATAAGAGTGACAGATGAGCCTGTAATCCCAGCACTTTGGGAAGCGGACGCAAGAGGATTACCTGATCTCAGGGTTCAATACCAGCCTGAGCAACATGGCGAGACCTTGTCTCTACAATAAATAAAAAAATCAGTCAGGCATCGTGTCATATGCCTGCAGTTCCAGCTACTTGGAAGGCTGAGGTGGAAGGATCACCTGAGTCCAGCAGGTCCAGGTTAAGGTGGCCATGAGAGTGCCACTGCACTCCAGCCTAGGTGACAGATGAGACTCTGACTCAAGAAAAAAATAAAAAAGAATGGCAGATGAAATATCAAATATTACCTTTATAGCTAAAATTGTCCAAGTTGACAGACATGCTTAATGTCTTTAATGGAACTCCAGAATTAGGCAAATTAATCTACCTAGTCACAAGTTAAAATGAATCAGGGTTGATCCCTCTGAAGAGTTTCCCAGTAAGCAGCTTCCTCCCTAGAAAAAGAGGGTAAACTGAATAAGCCATGCACAGTTTATTCTTAGATTTGCTGATGTGACAAATCTCTTTATATCATTAGGGAGAAATGAGTAATGAAGCAGAGAAGCAAGGAATTAGGTGACTTGAGAACTCACTACAAGAACAAAACATCAAGAGTAGGGAAGATTCTTTCTCTTAGAAATGAATACTGAATAATGATATCAGTTAAAATAGCAAGTCATTTGAACGGGACAGTAATTTAAAGTTTTACATGTAATCATGTTGTAATATACTACTGAATCAAAGGTATTAAACATATTGTCAACATATTCTTTGTCTATAGATTATTTACTTTATAGATTATCCATAACCTATTTTTAAATCTCCAAGTATCTTTTTTATTTCTTTTCAACACACAATCCTATCTGATTAAAATGTCAGGCCTTGAAATAAAAAAAAACCAAAAAACTTGCATGTAAGTAAGTTCTTATCCTGCTTCTCACTAGTTATATCGCAGCTAGTTATATATCTTCTCTGGAGTTTTATTCTCATCTGTAAAAATGAAAGAGTACAACTTTACAATTCCTCAAATCCCTCATAACCCTCAAATTCTAGAATTATTTTTGCCCCCCTCAGGTGCAGTTGATATGTATCTAGGAAACAAAACCTAATCTTACATTTAGCTTAAGAAAAATATGAGTATTGAAGATAGCTGAGAGTCACTGCATCTCTCTCTCTCTTTAAACTTCTATGGCATTTATAATTTACAGCACACAATTTTTTACACATTATTATCTGAATTATTTCTTTGTTTCCTCTGCTTATTTTCTTTCCCAATAACAAAAAATTTGCTTTCATTACCTTGTTCCTAAGACCATCATTTATGATACTGCATATCATTGTTCTGGACCAATAGGAGTTATAATTAAAAGTGAATTTCTTCTCTGTTAGATCATTTAAAGATGTTTATTTCCAGGTACTTTTGTTTTCAAACTTAACTCTGATCCTCTGATTTTGTTTCTATTTTTAACAAGCTTATGTTCAAAATAGGAGTTTAATTATAGCACTAATAAATTTAATGCTGGTAAATAGGAAAACTGATGAAATTTTACATGATTGTACATGTTATTAACTAACATATAATGCTGAGTATTTGTATTCCTTTTAGTATATTATGTGTGTCCATGTATGTGCATAGGTAAATACCTAGCAGGTATATGTGTTTTTCTCCGGCTTAGAAGGATGCTAATTTAAGACTAACATTTCTTTGTTGTTGTTGATGTTGTAGAGATGAGGTCTTGCCAAGTTGCCCAGGCTGGTCTCAAACTCATGGGCTCAGACAATCCTCTCACCTCAGCCTCCCAAAGTGCTGGGATAATAGGTGTGAGCCACCACACCTGACTAAGACTATCATTTCAATGCCAGAAATACTGAATTATTATTTTTTAGGTTAGCAATTTACTACTATGTTTTTTCATAATCAAATGTAACATATGGTAATTTTGTCATTCTTAATTATGTATATATGATGATCTGGTATCTTTTAAAAGGTATGGTGTGGAGCCTCCTGGTTTGATAAAACTGGAAAAAGAGATTGAACAAGAAGAAACACTTTCTGCCCCTTCTCCTTCACCTTCTCCTTCATCCAAGTCTTCTGGGAAAAAGAGTACAGGAAACTTACTGGATGATGCAGTAAGTAAAGCCGGTCAGACTTTTTTTCCAGCAGTCCGTCTCTTTTGAACTACAAAGACATTTTGTGCAATCTCCTATCAGGTGAACCTCTACCTATTTCAATTTCCTTGACATTTATTTTCAGTCTCTAAGAGCAAGGTTGGACTTCTACGATTCATTTTGAAACCAAAAAGTGAGCCAGTCTTTTAAAATAAAATGTTTCTTAATTCTGCTGAACAGTATCTAGCATTTTAAAATAAGCTAACTTGCTGAAAATTGTTTAAGAAACACTAAAGCCTCAGTGTTGTTGGTCCAATATTTCTCCTTTTACAGATGAGAAGCATGAGGTAAAATATTTTGAGGATTTTTTTGTTTTGTTTTTCTGGAGCTATTTTTCATGGCTCTTTTATTTTTTTTTTTAAACCCTTTGTTTATAAAATAAATATAAAAACCTGACTTAGTAATTCAGCATACAATAAAAGAATCTATGCTTGATTCCTTGGAGTAGTTTTCTAAAAACTTTGGATGTATTTCATTTTAGATTCAGGGATCCATGTGCAGGTTTGTTATCTGGCACACATTGCATGATGGGTTGGGCTCTTATTGAACCTGTTACCAAAATTGTGAACATGGTACCTCATAGTTTTATTTATTTTATTTAATTATATTTATTTATTTGTTTTAACTTTTGTGTCCCTCCCTTCCTCTCTCTTTTAGGAATTCCCCATGTCTGTTATTCCCATCTTTTTTATCAGTGTGTACCCAGTGCTTAGCTCTCGCTTATAAGTGAGAATATGAGGTATTTGCCTTTCTGTTTCTGTGTTCATTGGCCTAGAATAATGGTACCCAGCTGCATCCATGTTGCAGCAAAGGCAATGATTGATTTTGTTCCTTTTTATGGCTATATAATATTCCATAATGTGTATGTACCACATTAAAAAAAAATCCAATCCACAGTTAATGTCACCTTGAGTTGGTTCCATGTTTTTCCCATTGTGACTATGCTGCAAGCTCAGATGTTTTTGGTAAAATGATGTATATTGCATTGCATATACCCCCAGTAGAGGAATTTCTGGGTCAGATGGTAAATCTATTTTTTCCCCCCTTTTTGAAATCTTCAAAATGTTTTCCACAGGGGTTGAACTAGCTTACATTTCCATTAATAGTGTATGGGCATTCCATTTGCTCCACAATCTTGCCAACACTTGTTGCTTTTTGGTTTATTAATGATAACCATTCTGACTGGTGTTAGATTGTATCTCATTGTAATTTTTATTTGCATTTCTCTGAGAAATATTCAAGTTGATAGACTATAGACTGCTGGCCAGATGAAAAAGAGAGAGAGGGAGAGAGGGAGAAAGGGCTGGGAAAGGGGGAGAGAGAAAGAGAGTGTGCGCATGCTCACAATTCCAAATAAATGAAATAACCATTCCCACAGATATACAACAGATTCTCAAAGATCAGTATCAGCATCTGTATATGTATAAACTACAAAATCTAGAGGAGATAGATAAATTCCCAGAAACACACATCTTCCCAAGATTGAAACAGGAAGAAACTGTAACCTTGACTAAACAAATAAGTCACTAAATTGAGTCAGCCATATAAAACCTATCAATCAAAAAAAGTTTTAGTCCAGTTGAATTCACAGCCAGATTCTTTCAGACATACAAGGAAGAGCTAGTACCAATTCTACTGAAGCTATTTCAAAAACATTGAGGAGATGCAACTCCTCACTAACTCATTTTATGAAACCAATATCACCCTGATTCCCAAATCTGGTGAAGACACAACAAAGAAAGAAAACTACAGGCTGACATCCCTGATAAACATAGATACAAAAATCCTCAACAAAATATTAGCTAGCCACATTTAATAGGATGCCACAAAGATCATTCACATGATCAGGTGGGCTTTATTCTTGGAATGCAAGGTTGGTTCAACATATGCAACTCAATAAAAGTGATAGACTACATAAACAGAATTAAGAACAAGAACCACATGGTCATTTCAGTGGAGGCAGAAAAAACATTTGATAAAATCCATCATCCCTTTATGATAAAAACCCTTAGCTACCTCGGCATTAAAGCAATATATCTCAAAATAATAAGTACCATCACCACAAACCCACAATTGACATCATACTGAATGAGCAAAATTAGGAAGCATTGTTCTTAAGAACTGGAACAAGTCAAGGATGTCCATTCTCACCACTCCTATTTAACATGATACTAGAAGTTCTAGCCAGAACAATCAAGTAGAAAATGAGGAAATAAAATTATCTCTCTTTACATACAATATTATTCTATATCTAGAAAACACTAAAGATGTCACCAAAAGATTCCTAGACCAGAAAAGTGACTTTAGTAACATCTCAGGATACAAACTCAATGTTCAAAAATTAGTAGCAATTCTACACCACTAATATTCAACCTGAGAACAGAATCAAGAACACAGTCCTATTTACAATACACACACACACACACACACACACACACACACACACACACACACCTGGGAATACATCTTACTAAGAAGTTGAAAGATATATATAAACACTGCTGAAAAAAAAATCAAAAAAATGGAAAAACATCCAATGCTAATGGATTGGGAGACTTGATATTGTTAAAATGGCCATACTATGCGAAGTAATGTACATACTCAATGCAATTCATATCAAACTATCAGCATAATTTATTATTGAAAAAGCAATTCTTAAATTTTTATGGAAGAAAAAAAGAGCCTGAGTAGCTAAAGCAATACAAAAAATCATAGGCATCACATTACTGGACTTCAAATTTTACTACAAGGATATAGTAACCAAAAATTCAGTACTGGTACAGAAATAGTCACATAGACCAATGGAACAGACTAGAAAAGCCAGAAATCAAACTGCTGACTTACAACCAACTCATCTTTGACCATGTTGACAAAAATAAACATTGGGAAAATGACACCCTATTCAATAAATTTTCTGAATACATTGGCTAACGATACACAGAAGAATGAAGCTAGACCCATACTTCCCCTCCATATGCAAAATTAACGCAAGATGGATTAAAAACTTAAATGCAAAACCTCAAACTTTAAAACTCCTGGAAGAAATTCCAGGAAATACTCTTCTGAACATTGGCCTAGGTAGTGCACTTATGTCCAAGTCCTCAAAAAAGAAATGCAGCAAAACCAGAAATGAACAAGTGGGATCTAATCAAACTAAGAACTTCTGCATGAAGTTCTGCATGAAAAGAACTTCTGCATGAAAAGAAACTATCAATGGAGCAAACAGACAATCTACAGAATAGGAGAAAATATTTGCGAACTATGTATCCCACAAAGGGCTGATAACCAGAGTTAAAGAAACTTAAAAGCATCCAAGAGAAAAAAAAAATTACTCTATTAAAAAGTGAGCAGAGGAATGTTAAAGAAGGGAAATTAAACATGTGATAGAGAAAATAACAATCCTTTAGGAACTGCCTGTTGGCCGGGTTCGGTAGCTCAGCCTGTAATCCCAGTGCTTTGGGAGGCCGAGGTGAGTGGATTACCTGAGCCTTCAGGGTTCAAGACCCGCCTGGGCAACTTGGCGAGACCTCATCTCTACAATAAATAAAAAATTAGCCGGGCATGGTAGCGTGAGCCTGTAGTTCCAGTTACTTGGAAGGTGAGGCAGAAGGATCACCGGAGTCCAGCAGGTCAAGGCTGCAGTGGCCGGGAGCAGCCACTGCACTCCAGTCTGGGTGACAGAGTGAGACTCCAACTCAAAAAACAAAACAAAAACAAAAACAAAAAAAACCCTGCCTGTTATAATTCAAGGTCTAACATTGTTTTTCAAGTGCTCTCATACCTGAAAGGCAGGTTTCTTATTGTGAAAATGGAAACATAGAAGTGGAGTAACCTGCTGAGGGGAGGAGAGAAACTGAGTTTCCAACACAGTTTGTCTAACTCTCCAAGGAACCTCTACCAAGCAGGGTCCTTGAATCACAATTTTTTGGCAGTTAGAAAATATTTTAATGATGCCCTCAGAATCACAGAAAACAGTATCTAGATATCACAGAAACTGATTGAACAGAGTGAATTAAAACTCTGAGATATCAGTTGTCTGTTAAGTAGTTCTTGGTTTTGATAAGTAGTGTGCTTGAGTATGTATATGCATATGCCTCCTTACACATTTATTTTAAGTGAAAATGTAAAAAAAATATAATAAAGGGGAGAAATTTTGGATGATTGGCATGTTGTTTATGTGATGTTTGCGTTCATGGAGTTGGAGCTGCTTATGAATTTAGTAGAAAATGATAATGCCAGAGGTATTAGAATGACATACGTTTCATATACATGGAGAAAGTCCTTAGAAGCTAGCACCAACCCTGATGCCAGCTGTAAAAATAGGCAGGACTGAAATGAACTGTTGACCAGTGGCTAGGGGTTTCTTTCTCTAGGGTCTGAGCTGAAAAGAGTTGGGAACATGGCTGATTGACACTATGGGATGCAGAAAAACAGATTTCTACATTTTAAAAAAACTTTTCTTCATGTGACACTATAAACTATATTGCAGTATTAGCTAAGCAGAAATATAACAATTTGTCTGATAGATTAAGAACTCTCATATCTGTTAAGGGCAACACACTTAAAGGTATCTTCACTAGTCCAGTTTAGTTTCTTTTGTATAACACTTCAGTCACTCAAGACCTCAAAAAAGAATAGGTAGTGGACTTGAATTTAATGCTACCTAAAATGATTTTAAAATTACATGACTGTCTTAAAGGATTAATCATATGCTTTGCTTTTCATAGTATGTCACTTTTTATTTTGTCAAGGAATTGAATAACATTAATCATAGATAATGGGGCATTTTGTGTGTATTGATGAGAACAATTTTTCCTCTGTCTCAATTATACTTTTTTATTAGACTTACTTTACAGTAAAATGTTCCTTTAGTTTTTTTTCCTGATAGTATGTTTCTCTGGGACAACCATACTTCCTCTTAATCCTTTTCCTCCTAGCTATCACCTCCATTCATTTTCTTTAATACCTTATAGGTAGGGTTCCAGACCACTGAAGAGTAGCTGGTTAAAGTCACCCTTAACCTCTTATTGAATGAATTACTGAATCAAATAAAGTTATTTGGTCCTGAATTATGAGAACTCCTCCTGGCATTTGATACTGTTGACCTCACCAATCTTGAAGTTCACCTCTACAACTATTACTGCTACCAGAAAGATCAAACCAAATGTAATTTGGATTTCATTAAAATTACATAGGGTTGTCTAAAACATCCAGAATAAAGCCAAAGCTAATCAGTCACATTACCCATAGCCCTCCACATTCTGGCCCACTGCATGTTTTCCTACAATTTTGCTTTCTGGATTAGTCTCTGGCACTTTGATGCTACCATTTTGTCTTCCTCCCCTTGCTTCTGCCTACTAACCTTTTAAATCTGCTTTTAAACACCATTTTACCTTTTAAAATTTAAGTTGCGTTACCTCCTATATAAAGATTTTCTTAGCATCTCTCATTCCAGGTAAGCTTGATGATTTATTCCTTTGGTGCCTCATGTATTTGTGTATGTTTACCAAGGCATTTACCTTATTGGGAATAAATATCCATTCTTCACAAGGTGCAGAACTTGCTCTCAAAGGCAAGGGCCATATTTTATTAATCTGTATCTAGTACCTTGTTTGCTTGGTAAATTATCATTGTAGGTAATTAAAACAAAAAACCCTTCTCTTTGATTCTATTTATGCAAATTGGCCATGTATTAGGGAAATACATGCACTTTTTTTTCATTTCTGCTGTAGCTTTGCAGAGGGAGGAAATGCTTACACTTGAAACTATGCATGTAAGACTGGGAAAAGCAGGTAGAATGGTTTTCTCCTATCACCAGCTTATCCCATATCTGGCTATTCTGTATCCTTGAGCAGAGGAAAAAAATGAAAGGCAGCAAGAAGGTGGTGAAAAAACCTATTAAAGGGATTGGAGTTTTACCAACACTTCAATCCAGAAAAAGAGAGTGAAAGACTTTCTATATAACAACAAGTAGAGTCAATACATAAATTCCCTACTTCAAGTTATATTCTCTCAACTGGAAACAGTGAAGGGATTTCATGAGAGCTTTAAACCCTCTTTAACCTTTTCCAGGGTTTTGGGAACATAACCATTAATTTAATTAAGAGGTCTTAATTGATTGTAGGAAGTATGCAAAATGTATATCTCTGTATCTTTGCCAGAGAGAATACTATACTCTGAAAGTCTTTAGACTTGCATTTTCAAGAATATTTAATCAAACACACCACCAATACCCACTGGGGAGAGAAATTGCGTGGTTAGGTTAGCTTGAGAAATACAGCTTACTATAGGCCCTGCTAGAATTTGGCAATACACTTTGACACATCAAAGGTTCTGGTAAGTTCCAGTATAAGATCTTGTTTAACCTGGAATTTTCCAACCTTATTTGACGCCAGAAGTCTCTTATAGTTCCCCTTCATTCTACATTGGGGAAAATTGAAGTGAACTATTTGCATTCTTTGACAGTTTTTCACTGAAGTGGTTTATTTCGGGAACAGTAGAGCAGACAGAAAAGTAATTTGAGCCTCACTAATGGTTTACATCAGAGCTTCATATATGTAATATGAAAAGTTAATTGTTCCTGTGGCAACTACTTCACTGCATGTGAGGTATACACTGTATAACAGTTGGGAGTTGAAATTGACATACCCCAACATGAGCTTTAAAATAGGGATATAAAATAGAGATTGCTTGCAAAGTTTCTGTGTTTAGCTAATAATATTGGCTATATTTTACTCTGCAAATAAAGCTATTATCTGCAACCTCATTTAAAAAAAGGAAGAGAAAGAATAGGAGCAAAAGAAGAAAAAAGAAAAAGAACCAAATTAAAAAAAAGAACAAAAAGAGGAATGCAAAAACAAGCATACCTGTGTTAAGATATTATATTCTGGTGAACAGTTTCAACAAAAATTGACAATATTGAAGCCTTCAATGTTTCTTCACATTTTTTTGTTTGATACTTAGGGAAATAGTGAAATAAAAATAGGTGACTCACTATGTGGATAATACATCCCACCTTCTTTAATCAAGATATCATGAAAGAAACACAGTGGAGTCTATTCAGATTAATTTATTCAACAGATGTCCTGATAGAATGATTCAGCTGTGATAAAACAGTGGGGTCAGGTTTAGTTCTCCTCTTCTCTTTCCCTGGTGTTGAGCTAGTTCCCACACAATGCGTTGAATACAATTCTAAGAAACCATTCTTACTTTCTTCCGCTTCTCCATCAACTTCCTAGTCTGGGGATGAGAGATAGTATAATTCTGAGTAATCAGGCTCCTCTTGAAATCCCATTTCAGCAGAAAACTGTCTGGATTTCTAGCCAAAAACAGAATACCTGCCAGACTGACTTATCCCAAGGTAACGTAAGAAGCGCAGATGTCATCAGTCACTGGTTACTTAACAATATACTTCCACTGCCCCCAGTCTGGCCTCATCTCTTCCATTTCTGCTTCCACCTCTTACAAAACGACAAAAAGGTCCTTAATTTTTTTTTAAATCAATTTCTTTTTCAAAACTAGGAAGGCATTAGAGAAGGGCAGGCCACTTGAGAAAATGTTGCTTGTATTTTACTTCATTTGATACCAACAGTGCCTGGGTTTCATTTAAGAACTCTGCAAGATAGAAATACTTTCCATTTGGACTTGTGATTACCATTTCTTGGCAGAGGAACCACTTGAACATCAATTTACTGTTTGTTCAATTACTGTGTGGCAGCAAAATTGTGTTAAGCACGATCCTCCTGAAGTTCGGGCCTCACACCGTGTCCTCTTTTGACATCATTTGTCTGATTTTCTTCTGGAGAATCAAAGCCCTCCTCACCACCCCCCCATCCTTGATTTTCTTCTGGAAGCTCTTACTTGCAGTGATAAGGAAAACTCTACCACCTCTAGCGATGACATATGTTAAATATATGTTATAAACATAGAGAAAGAGATTCACATAGAAAAACACTGAAAACAGCACAGACTCATACATACACATTCTTTGGGCTTATGATATCACCCCCACAGCAGAATGTGGTTCCGCGTTATTGGATGGGAATGACATGACTGTTACCCAACTTTTGTGCATCTTATTTTGTTATCACCATCCCACTCGGGAATAACCTTTTAAGAAAATCTCTAGGAAGAGAAGTCTATTAATACTGGAGTGGAAGTATCTCTGCTCCAATTAAATAATATGATGGGGGAAGCTCAGAAGTCAAAATCATGGACTTAATCACTAACTGATGCTTGGCAGATTCCTCACTTTTTCAGTGAAAGCCATCTTAGAGAGCCTTTGAATCTAGTTTTATTCAGCATCACTAATTTCCCCGTGTCCTGGATGGATCCATGCTCTTATTTCCCTATTCATTGATTTATTCAACATGCAGTTCTTGCCTGCTCTTCTGTTTCAGGTGAAACGAATTTCTGAAGATCCTCCTTGCAAATGCCCGAACAAGTTCTGTGTGGAGCGGCTCTCCCAAGGAAGATACCGAGTGGGAGAAAAGATCCTTTTCATTAGGGTAAAGTTTTTCTTTTCATTTATTATTTGGTCTTTATGGGGGATATTAAGAATTGAAGGTTACCGGGTAAATATCACAGGTAACTAAGCAGGAACTTCCTTGTTGTGCTCACAGTGGATTAAAGACACAAGGGATGCATATTTTTTTAAAAAAGTAGCCTGCATTAAGATGTACCACTGAGGGCTAAATAGATAGAACTGTCTGTCTCTTTTTATATGTACATAAACACATACTCACCAAAGAGAGCAAAGGGGATGTAGGAGACTTTCACGGGTGGCCTATTTTGCTAATAATTAAAATAACTCAATTTTAAAAATTAAGTTTGTGACCTTTGTTGAGACTAACAGCTCTTTTGTAAAATAAATAAACAGTACTGATGTGTTCCTAGAAATCTGCCTTTGATACATAAAATTATTTTTTCTGCTTTATATTTTAGTCATTTCTTAAAGAAGGGAGGTCCTGATTTAAAAAAAAAAAAAAGTTATTCTCATTTGAGTTAGTTAAAAATATCTTGCTTGTTATTTTGTAGAGCAAAATGATTTGAATGTATACATCGAGTACAATTGATGCACATTTTTACGATACTCAAATAAGTGATTGCTATCTTGAAATTTTGCCAGTGTACAGTTTCCTTAATTTCTAATTTTGACTGAAACTTTCTGTATCACAGGTCTTTTTTTTTTTAAAGGCTCTGCACCATGTAATTGAAGAAAAGTTTAATAATAATTTAGCTTTAAAATACAGTGCCAATCATTTTGTATCTTAAACCAATTTTAGGTCAATGTTTGCTGATGTGTGTGTTTGTTTTTTCAATTCCCAGGAATTAATTGCTATTCTACTTTGGGATGGCAACAAAAGGGATATAACAATATGTTATTATTAGGGGTTTGAGAACAAATCTGGATGAATGGCCTCACAAGGAAGGCAATTGCCTGAGTTGCTTATTGTTCTTTTGTTCTTTATTGCAAGGATAACATGCGTTGTTTTTAAATTAAGGCCAGGCTGCCTGCTTTCACTTGAGTGCATTAAATAATAGTAGTCTAGAATCTCCACAGATGTGTTTAAATTTTACCCAGTTGACCTTTCTCAGTTGAGAAACAGTTTCCTTTATAATATTGTCCTAGAGCTCAGAATCAAAACATAGGAGTTTATTTGTTTAAAAAATCATTCCTTTTTATAATAGGTGTTTTATTAATACATTTTATGATAATACATTAGAGTTCAGGCATGGTGGCTCATGCCTGAAATTCCAGCACTTTGGGAGGCTGAGAAAGAAGGATCACTTGAGCCTAAGAGTTCCAGACCAGCCTAGGAAACATAGTGAGACCCTATCCCTGCAAAAAGGCATGGTGGTAGGTGCCTCTAGTCCTAGCTACTCTGGAGGCTGAGCTGGAAGATTGCCTGAGCCCATGGTCAAGGCTGTGATAAGCTGTGATTGTGCCGCTGCGCTCCAGTCTGGGCAACAGAGTGAGATCCCAATTCAAAAAAATAAAATAAAATAAATAAAATAGTATATTAGATACTTCTCCCTCTAATGTAGCCTTATGTCTTCAGGCAAAAATGTATATTGCATATGTTTATTTGTGTCTGATGTTTTACGTTTAGTCACTTATCAAATAATTTCAGATTTAAATTTATAAATCATATGTTTTATAACATTTTAATACATAAGTTTTTGATATTCCATTTTTCTTTTCAGGAAATATTTTTCTTTTGGTAAAATCTATTCATGTATTGTTTATAGAGAAACTGAGATTTGCTTTACAAAAAAATGCATCATATTCCTTAATGATGGCATTTTAATTTGATATCAATTAATTCATAAGAACATATTGAGCACACTCAGTGTCATGCTTCTTGATGTATCGGGTTAGCCTGCAATGGGAGAGTTAATTGTGATGTGTTTATTCACTGATTAGTCCAGCAAGTGATGCCATCAAGCTATTATGATGTGTTTTAGAACAGTGTTTTAATGTTTTTTAATCATTTACTTTTTAAATTTTTGCATTGGCTACCTGTAATTTCACTATTTTTATGACAGATTTCACTTGAAAATAAATCCTTAAAAAGCTTAATTTTTAAAAGAAAAATTCCTATCACTGCCTAAATTGGAAACCAAAACTATTTGTCAAAACAAAGGGAAAAGATCCTTGAACATATATTGATTGAAATACCTATCCTTTGGCTTGTCATAAGTCTACTCTGCTCTGATGGAGTAAAGTGATTCTAAAAAAGTTTTATCTCCTTGTCTCTAATTATCCCTAGAGGCTTAAAAACTAAAATTTCATAGGCAGATCACATGTGACTTGCATTGCATATTTTTTCCTAGTTTCTGCTCCATGTTAAATGGACAAACTAAGAATGTCTCACTGATGTGTACATACTTTTGCTAGTGCTTTCAATTTGTGGTGCAGATTGTATTTAATTGATTGTTATTCAGCTCTAACTCTTAGTAAGGACCTGGCAGTTATTACTCAAAACATCTCAGAGGTATTGAATTGGTTTTCAAATGATCAAATGGCTGTCACTGCTAATATTTTAACTGTGTTTCTCTGAACACTTAGATTAAGTAATAAGTGCTTGTAGTGACGCTGTCCCACACACTAGGTGAATGATCACCTCACAACGTCTTCATTACGATTCTACATTTCTTTAGTTTGCACTTTTAACATGAGCGTACTTTAAATTTTGTCACATCTTTTTTGAAATTGCTTAATATGGTCATATTTACTTGGCTGTGTTTTTGTATATTTTCTATAAAATATACAAACAATGAAATGCACATGGGTCTTAACATCTACCCCCTAGTTTTCTGTTCATCCTGAGAGCATCAGTGTCTTCATATGGGCATAATTAACCTGTCCAATATAAAGAACCATTCAGTGTCACTCCAGGCTAATAAAATTAAGGGTCACTTAAGGCTAACCTTTACTTAAAGATAACATAATTACCAAAACACTAACTCCAAGATAATTATCCCTTAGCAAGCCATAAATACAAGATTCTCCTTTAAGTATCTAACACACTTACTCTTGACTTACTCTTCTCAATGTAAGCCAGAGTTAATAATTTCAGTGCTAAGTACCTTCCAAAGATGCTGACAACACCCACTTTATTTGTTTTTATGTTCATGTGCACATACGAACATATATATTTTCTTTATACATTCAAACAGATACAAAAACAGCAAATAAGAATAAAAAAATGTAAGAATGTATACAGATTTCAAAGTAAAAACCAGGAAGACATTGTCTGCAGATAATGTCTTTGTAAAGCTTACGTCTTGTCTGTGGATTTTTAGAAACCAATGCATGAATAGATATTTCCAATACATGGCTATTTAATGCATATTTATATAGTTGCATCTGTATGCTTATGTCAACATGCTTGTTTATTTGCATATATCTCCATTTACAGGTGGAGGATTAATCGCTACCCAAATATAAAGAATCTTTTAGTTCTAGAAAAAAACCCTCTGAGGTTTTTGACTGTGATTTTTAGACAAACATGGTAATCATCCCCTGCCAAATGGAAATTTCCTTGTTTCTAGCTTACCAAAAATAATTTCTCAAAGGCAGATTTTTTTCCCCTGTACCTTCCAATGAACAACATTGTTTTTTGAACTATCAAATGCAGCTAATTTGTATCTATATTGTGCAGATGCAAATTTACTCTTCTTCAAGGTATAAATATTTCAGTTATTTTTCAGTGACTTTTGAATTTGGATAGTGATGATAAAACCTCCTTGCTGATTTCTATGGTAACAGAGATTTGGATTATTCCCACTTGACCATGATACGTATCTTTGAAATGTAAATAGTTGAATCTCAGGACTAATGTCTTGATTTCAGAGAGAAGGAAAGTAAGAGTTTTTTCTTCTTCTTTTGTTTATTCAATCAGTCGGTGAGCTTGTAGAAAGAGACATTAGAAATATGACTTAGAAACAATAAAAATGTCTGTACTATTTAACTTAACCCTAATTTAATGACTGCATTTGAAGTAAATTCTCCAACAGTGATTTTTAAAGTTGTCCTTAAATGAGCAGTATCAGTGTCATCTGGAAACTTGTTAGAAATGCAAATTAGTGGACCTTCCCCCAAATCTGGTTAATCAGAAACTCTGAGGGTAGGGCCTAATCACCTGTGTTTTAATAAGTCCTCCAGGTGTTTCTGATGTACGGTGGAGTTTGAAAACCACTTACATTTAGAAAGAAATAACTTTATAGAGAAAGAGATTTGTTTTACCAACAACACAGTAGGAAGTTATTTGCATATCTGATCATGAAAGAATGTTAGCATTCTGGTACTAAAAATTAACAGTGTCTTGTGGAGAGAAAATACTTAAAATATAACATTAAATGGAAAATACAGACTTTTAGATTATATTTACATATAAAATGGCTTGGTGTAGAAATACTATATAATTATGATTAGACTTGAATTAAACAGGAATAAGTGAAAGATAGTTTTTAATTGTTGAGGACATAGAATTATGAGTGAGCAAGTGTCTTCTGCTTTCATTTATGAAGATGATATTTTAAAAATATGAACTCTTTAAGAGAAGCCAGCACCCTGGCACAAATTTGAAAATAAATAAAAAACCCTCTGAAAATTGTCAGATTAATTAGTGGACTGCTCATTTTATGGCCTTCTGCTAAGCTTGCCAGCTTCTGGAAAAGTTTAGGGAGGACTATTGGAGCCATGGTATTATTCAGACTAGGAGAATTTCACATTTTGTTGTGAATTTGTAGCAAGATAAAGCTCTTACATTTCCTTATCTTCTTAACTATTTTGTCTCCCCATTTTAAAAACTGATATTATTTTGGATTAACATTAGGAAACACGCAAACTTGTACCTACTATCTGGATAATGTGCTAACTCTTTATGGGACCCATCAGAGATCCACTCACTGTTTTCTCTCTAATAATAATTAAAGCTTTAGCCATTTGAATTGCTATTTCTTTAAGGCTCAGTTTTCAGTGACATAAAAATAACTTAATATGATATGTTGATTTGTGCTAATACATGAAATGGATGCAAATGGTCCTAATGAGTAGAACATCTGTGGGGTAAGATCTTTACACTTAACAAAATTGTTGCTCAGATGTTCTGTGACTAGAACTTTCTGGCAAAACAGCAGCCAGTAGGGTTATATGTTGTAAGGTAGTTGATGTACTACTTGCTTTGGTCTCTAATGTGATGAATACTCTTTTTTTTGTTTTTTGTTTGTTTGTTTGTTTTTACTTAATTGCAATTTACCACTACCTTGACATTGTTCTTTAGTGTTGTTCAATGTGTGTTTCAAAGAATATAGTTTCAGAAGCTGTTCAAAGATATTATTTATAAAGAAAAGTTAACATTGGTAAAGTGTTTAAACAGGTTTCTTTAACTGCTATTATTACAAATAATTGATTTTGTTCGCCTCTATCTGAACACATGACATATCTCATTATAACCCCTCATCCCAGTGTGAAAAATACTGTGACCTTTCCCATTTTACACATGAGGAAGCTGAGACATGGGTGAGTAACTTCCTAAAGCTAAAAGCGAATATGAGCATTGGAAGTCGGGATCAAACCCTGCAGCCTAACTTCTGAATTTACACTCCTTACCACTAATCAATGCTAATTTCTTTACCTGGAAGTTCTTGGAGAGTCACTAAGGTGATTTGTAAGCTACTAGAGAGAAATGGACTGTGTATCACTCCCCCAATTTATTTAACCACAGTAATGGTCTCACTCCCACCTTTCCCCACACCCTTCCCCTCAGAGCATCATCATGTGCTAGGAAGTCATAAAAACATATTTTGGGAAAAATATTATTAATCAAAGCAAGTTTAAATAATTTGTAACATAGAATTATATTAAAATGACAGTTTTCTACATCTTGCCACAGTTAAAACCCATGTATTTTAAGGTACTCAAGAATATTGAATTTATGCTCATTTTTGCCTTCAAGTTCCATTTGGAGATGAATTTCAAGGACATGACTGGAAAACCTTTAAAAGAAAGACAATTGAAATTTAATAAAAATAAAATAAAATTTAATAAAATTTGTACCAGACATCTTCTTATCTATTTTATATACATTATCTTACAGAATTCTCTCTGCCCTACAGCTAGGAAATAATTTTTCTCCTTTTGTTACATGTAAAAAATAAAGTCTTAGAGAGGCTAAGTTCTGAAGTAACTATTATAATAAATAAAAGTCAAGTCCTGACTCTCAGGAGTATAACACATTTCACTCCAAACTGTTTCCTGTGGCATGCACATTAAATGCAAATATTTTATTTACAGGACTAGTCCTCTAAAAACCATCAGGACATTTTAAAAATATACTTAAGACTCAACTATAGTAAAGTAACTTTATGCCATTTTTACTTTTAAAATATTCAGAATAAAAAGGATACTTCACTTGCAAAATCAGGGCCTTATGTAAAGAAAGGGATATCATGTGTTTGCCTGATTGTACTATGATGGTGATAAAAATTATAACAACTTTTTTAGTGTTAACTGTGTTAGGTGCTGTTCAAAATGCTTTATGTGGTCTATCTCATGTAGTAAGCAAAACTAATTAGAACCCTATCATTATGAGATATATTATTTTCTGTCCTGATATCTTTTTAATAGAAGTCAGAAGCTAATTCTCTCATATTGCCAGTATGGTTTGGTTGAGTCTTTTCTTGCTAAGTGTTGATATTTTAAAAATGAATTAGTATTATTTCAAAACATTTTCATAAATGACTTCACGGTTGGGTAAAATCACATGACATACCAGGCTAACTCTCTAATGGTTCAGGCTATTTTTCCAGTCTAGGAACTAAGAGTTCTTAAGAGGCCTCAAGAAAAGACAATGAATAATTTAATTGGAAATCAGCAAAGGGATTTGAAGTGTTATGGAGTTACCTTCTTCACACTACTTTTAAATTAAATCATCACAGATCAATAGAAAGGTCACACACATTGTTATTGACTCTGTAATTTTTTTCCTTAGCATAAAAATTCTTCAGAATTATGCCTGTGTGGTAAAAATCCACTCACTGAAACCCAGCCAGAGAGGCACAAGAGCTCTGTTACTATAGCAACTGAACTTGGCAATGTCTTCTGGGACTTGCTCTAAGGGAAGGTCCATGATAGTGAGTGATAGTACATTCTTTTCTGCTTTTATGACACATATTGGTTTACTGTGAGTAAAATGTAGCGTGATTCAAATTTCATACCTTTTCTGTTGATGAAAAATGGGTTGTGTGTAAAAATATGCAAAGAAGTTTTAAATGAATAACAAGGAGATTAAAACCTCCATTTATCATAGAGGAAACATTGCAGAAGCAGCCATTACTCCACAGCTGAAAGTCAAAAATTCATTTTCTGAAAAATGTATGCATATAGAAACCCTTCATTTAATTTAGCAGTTTATGAGAGCAGTGATTTTATTGCAAAGCTATGTAATGGCTTATATTTATTTCTATGGAACAAACATCAGAAGATGTATATAAAATCTCAGATAAGAGTTATAGTGCTCTAATCCAGGGTAAGAAAAATATGACTGTTATTCATACATGAATATTTCCAAAATTAGTCCCTTTCTTTGCCCAACTGCCTCAAAACTGATCACTAATTCAGAAAAAGCAAGCAATACCATTTAAAATGTATTCAAATGCTTTCATTTTAATTTTTAAATTCTGTTTTATAATGTGTTTGCCTCACTAAAGACATTTTTGTCATTTATTCATGTTCACTGAGACTGAGATAATAACATGGATGTAAATTATACTTTGGTAAAACATCCCTCAAAGATTTTGCAAATATTAATAAATCCCCATAATACCTTCTTTTTGAAAAAGGCATATATCTTGGATAAATGCAAAATAAATAATGACTAACCATTTCTGTAAAGACTTCAGCTAATGGGGTGTTTTCTTTCTAGAGAGTTATCTTTGGGGTTGAAATCATTTAAATATTAAAAAACCCTTAAACTGGACTTTGTTCAAGATTGCAACCGAGACTATATCCATTTGACACCACTCTTAAAAGTAAGAAAGACAATGTAATTTGATATTTGTGACAGGACTGGAAAGAATAGCTAATATATCTGGGCAGTGTTCTATGTTAAGTCAGATAATTAATTCTTCCCCTGACTTCTTAAGAGATATACAAATGCGAAAAATAATAAATAAATGAGAGCTCAAAATGAAAAATTATTCTTCCCTGAAAATTTGTCACTACTGGCCATTTAGCAGTGAGTAGATTCTTTTTTTAACTGTATCTACTTTTACCTAACCCAGTAAGTATTCATCCTCATTTCCAACTGAGTTAGCAAGACTTGCCATGATTTTAAATTGTGCAATATATATTCAACCTTACTTCAGCTGGAATAATTTTGTTTTGCCATTATGCTGCATATAGAATAAATGAGCAACTTTTTTCCCTAACCACAAATCAGCATTATAAAAACCTAAGCAAACATTAGATCAAATGACTTCATTGAATGAATGCCTAGCTTCTATAATAGGCATTCTCAATTTCTGCATTGCTATGGCCTTCCTGTCATTGAGATAGATGTGTTACATATATGTATATGTCTTATATACTAATACATTGTTGATGTATATATGTATATATAAATGTGTGTGTGTGTGTGTGTGTGTGTGTGTGTGTGTGTGTAGTGAAAAGCAGTAATATTTTAGATAATTGAATTAGTCTAGTGCTTTGGCATTTTAATTGATTTTAAAGAGATCATAGGTCGATTTTCTGTGCCTAAAAATTAAATCCCTAGTCAACAATTTGGTGAGAAAAAATAAATATTTTTTGTTCTACATTTATCTCTCTATATATTATTTAACACTCACTGAATGCTTTGTGTATCAGGTATCATTCAAAGTGTTTTCCTTGGATTCCTCTTTTTTCAGTCCTCCCAACTCTTTGATGTAGGCACTATTAATATCCTCATGTTAACAATAAAGACACTAAGCATTAGAGAGTTAACTACTTGTTCAAGATCACGCAGCTAGTAAGTTTCAAAGTCTTTGTTTGCATTTAACACTGCTGACTGCAGGGTACATAGTTTTAACCATATGGTATTCATTCCATTTCAGACCATCTAATTTTTCGCAAGTCATTTTGTAAATATCACTGGTCAACATTGTAACATCCATTAGTAATTTGCCACACTTGATATGTAGCTCTTAGTTTGCTTGTTCCTTTATCTATATGCTTTGGCAAATTATGGAATTTAACAGCTAATTTCTGTTGAAGAATAAGAAGGCAGCCACGAAATGGAGTCTTATAAAACAGACACAACAACCAGACAAACAAAAATTGAAAAGCCAAACTTTGCAATATGAAAGAGATTTATTCTGAGCCAATTGTCAGTGACCACGACCTAGGGTACAGACTCAGAAGATCCTGAGAACACGTGTCCAACATGTTTACAACTTGATTGTTTACATTTTTGGGAGACAGACGTTTGCAGACATGGACATAAATCAATACATATAAGGCACACATTGGTTCAACCCAGAAAGGCAGGACATCTCAAAGTGTGAAATTCTCTAGGTCATGGGAGATTCGAAGATTTTCTGATTAGCAATTGGCTGAAAGAGTTAAGCTCCGTTTAAAAAATAGGAAGCCAATAGAAAGAAATGTATGAGTTATGATAAGAAGGGTTATGAAAGCCAAGGTTTTTGTTATGTAGAAAAAGCCATAGAGTTCCTCATTTATATGATGGAATATTATACAACCATAAAGAATAGCAAAATCATGAACTTTGCAGCAACCTGAATAGAATTAGAGTCTATAATACTCAGTGATTTATCACAGAAACAAAGATCTGAGTACCACATGTACTCACTCATAAGTAGACCGTGAATATTTATCATAGTACTATAAGGAAAGGATTGGCAGTAGTGAGACACTGCTGGTGGGGAGGGCACATAACATTAATAAGGGTACTAAACTTTACCTGTACGATGACCACTTATGTACCTAATCCTGAATTGTACCCATGTCTTAAAAAAAAAGTAGCAGCCTTCAATGATAATATGTAAATGTCATAATCATAATAGGTGCCAGACTCTTCCTAGGAATGAAGATTTTCTACAGATGCAAATTTCTCCAAGAGATGGCTTACAGGCCATTCCAAAATATATCAAATAGATATATTTTAGGGTAACATATTTTTATTTCCTTTAAGGCCTCCTAGCATGTAATGCTATACAAGAGTCGAGTAGGAATTTGGTATCTTATTGCGACAAAGTCTATTTTGTCAGTCTTATAATCTCTATTTTAATGTTAACACTACTCAGTTGTGCCTAAACTCCAAAAGGAAGAGGGTAGAATGATGCATGCCCAACTTCCTTTCTCATCATAGCCTGTAATTTAGGTTTTTGAGTTTTCCTTTGCCTGGAAGGAAAGTTGATGGGGAAGCTTAGAATTTTATTTTTGGCTTACAGGTTTTCACAGTGTTCAATATGCTTATTGATTTTTTTCCAGTGTATTGACCACATTTGAAAAGCCTTCCACAAGTAAAAATTTATCCTAGGAATGAATAAATTAAGTAACATTCACAATTTAATACAATGATAAAATTTTGTTGATGGTCTTTGCTCAGTTAAGATTAAATCATCTCAATTTGATTAGGTATGGAATAAAAGTATGGAATGATTTTCTGAATATTCTGTGGTGGAGCAAGGAGGTTAAGTTGCCTTTTGTACCTTCGTATACTTTCATTAAAAGTCTAAATTAAACCTGTGACTAAGTGTGAACAGAAAACTTGTGCATAGCAACTAGTGCTTTTAAAAGCAAGTTCCCTACCATTGGGTGTCAAGGAATTTTTCTTTTTTAATAGAGACATAATCTCTCTATTTTGCCCAGGCTGGTCTCAAACTCCTGGCCTTAAAGGATTCTCCTGCCTTGGTCTCCCAAAGTGCAGGAATTACAGGCATGAGTCATTGGCTGAAGTAATTTTTAAATAACATTTTTTTCTTAATTGTTTTTAGCTTACTTTTTATTATTTATTTGTTTGTTTAGTATAGCTTACTTGATGGCAGTACAGATATTTCTTTTATACAGTTTGTCAAGTGCATTCACTTATACATTATCTCATTTTGGTTTCATTGCCACGCTGAGAAAAATGGGTGTGATTGTTAATTTATGTAACTTATTGATGAGAAAACTGCAGCTAATAAAAATTTAGTAACTTTCCAAAGGTAATCAAGCTAGTAAGTTAAATTATAAAACTTTCATAGCTAAATTCCATATGCTTTAAGCATCATGTAATAAAGATTACTTTTGATTTTTTAAAAAAACTTTGCATAGATGAAAGCTTTCAGTTCACTATTTTTTTGGATTTAGTATCATTTCCCTTAAATTGCAAAATAGGCAATACATAGTAGTGTCAACTTACAACATTTATAAGATTTTTATCCTTTTTGTAGTCTTCCCAACAAGAATACTTCTTGTTTTAAATAATATATACTGATATGACTGTGGTGAATTTTATTTTCATAAAAGGGAAAGAAATGAATAATTATACATAACGTGTTGTCTTCTTGAATAATTGACGAGTCTTCTAGTCACCAAAGGAAAAATATCCTATGAAATATGTATCATATAAATTGTCTATACTTCTCCCATGGGCTCAAGTTGCATAAACAGGATGCAACCGGGTTTATTAAGAAATATACTTTGCAAATGTGGCCTTTTTGAGTTTGTGTTGAATAGAGTCAAGCATGGTGGAAATGTTGCCATTACAACATTTGCTGTTAAGTAGGACTCATTTATTTAGTGCTATCTTTTTCATAAAGTGAGTTAAGTTTCTGCAAGATTAGTCATTATTTAGAGCTTGCCTTGCATTTCCCTCTAATACTTGATATTTGAATTTCAGCTCCTCATTAAAAACATATAATATTGGTCCTAGACTCAGTAGTTACCTCATTGACCTAAACTGTCAAGGCTTCCATTGAAAGAGCTTCACTGGTTCACATCAAATTTCAGTTCACTGGAATGGTGTGTTCTAATTTTATTTGCGGTACCATTTTCATTTGAAGCTTGGGTATACATTTTTTGAAGATATAGTCTGTCATAGCCTGCCATCTTGTTAGAAGCCTTCATAATCTTAAGAAAATATGAGTATGTAGATTTGGGAGGAACACAATATAAGGATTTGAGGTGAATATTGGCCTGAGGATATATCACTTAATTTCCTTTATAATGACAATCTAAATATTGCCTCCAAAAAAAGCAAGTTACTTACTGGTATTTGCTGTTTACCTAAAAGAACACTAGCAAGAATAAATCACGACATCAAGACATTACTCTTCTTCTAACTGTAGCTTTCTTTTACACACCAGCTTTTCATGCCAACTTCTATTCTTCCAGTACTACACTTACACCTTATCCTTCTAAAACTCTCAAAAAATATGGGAAAATGCCTTCTCTCTAGCCCAGAGTTTTTACAATCTACTTTGTATCATAGACAAGTTTTAGGGGACTACAAACTCCACGGGAGAAAATTATAATTATCTGAGACATCACCATGTAATGAGTTTTCTAATCTTTTATTTTTTATATCAAACTATCTAATGTTTTCTTTGTTCCCTTTCCCAGAAACTGATATTTTGGTTAACAATCTCTAACTTTCACTCCAAACATGGATCATTTATCATATTATTTTCTAAAATTCAGCCTCATAGAATATGAGTGACAGAGATAATTGGATAGTCTCTCTGGGGTCTCAGTTAAAGTCAGATAAAGAGCAGACCTTATTTCAAATTGTCTTCTATCTTTTATATTAGGCATAAAATCTCTAAAAATTCTATTTCATAACTGCAATACTGAGACAAAGGGTAACACATTAATCTACCAATGTCTTAGCCATGGTAATGTTATCCAGTCCAGGACTCTTTTGTTGGTAATTATGGTGCTTTGAGATCCTGGGTTATTGGAAAAATTATGAAAACTCATATAGCAAGCAGTTTTTTAAATGTCACATTGCATACCCACCTGGTAGGCTTTCATTTTGCACAAGGAGGCACTTTGAAACACACGGTGTATGTCTCAAAACTTCTCTCTCAAAACACCTTTGTACCATTTGCCATTTCCCTAACAACCTATGCAAATAATGTCTCTCATGTCCAGCCTTGAAAATACCGTTTATCTCCCGCATTTCCTTACATATTGTAACAAAATGAAATCCTCCAATGAGCACAGAAAGAATTCCAGAGGAACCTGAATATTTATCAACATCTTGATACCAATGATATAAACAGGATCTTTCATCATGTACAGTACCCACAGATCTGATGGATAGCACATCTACATATATCAACTAGAGGAAAGGTGAAGATTAAATATTCTAAAATTAAAAGGGAATATAACCTTGACTAGCAAATAAAGAAGTCACAGTCAGTCATAATACTATATAATCAAGAGAAGAGAAACACATATTTTCCAAAGATGACTTTATTTTTTTACCCAGATGTTTAGGAAGAGAAATTGAAACATATCCTGTGACTCTTGTTGAAAGCCTTTCAATGAATTACCTTTCAGATAAATTAAAGCATTTTTGTGAGTTTAGAATCTCTAATTTAATTGTGAGTTAATCTTTCCCTTGTGAGATTAGAATGCTGCATATATATGTTTTAAATTACAACAGAAGAAAGTGGTTGAGTAGAAAAGAGTCCCCCTGTGTCACAAAACTTTCTGAGGATAGATACAATGGTAAGGCCTGGACAGGCAGCAAAGAGTCAACATGTATGAACTGAGTGGGTACCAGTGAAGTTAGAACACGATGATTGGATATCCCCCCCAAAGTAGGAAGTTTCACACTGAAGCTCAAGATTTCATTTGTGTAACAGTTTTCCCTAGGATTTTTTTAGACATTCTCTAGAGTCTGGTATGTTTCTCTTGTGAATCTGAGACACAGACATGATGTCTGTCTTCCTAGCAATTTATTTTCTTACAGGTATCTTTTATTTTGAAACAGGAGACCAAAGGACCTCAGAAGAAAGAAAATTCTAACATTTCTGTTTTAAAAAGCTGACAGTCAACACAGTTTATGATTCTCACACTATGTATGTCTCACTTATCATTCAATGTTGATTACTAAGCAGTAAAACTTCCC